GACTAAATTGTTCGACCATGTCAAGATATCATGAATTGCCGATAAAAAATCATCTAAATTTTTGCCCAAGTGAAACGATCTGTGAAGAAATCATGTCTGCTGCTGGACTAAGAAAATGACTTTTATGCAAGAATTTAATTTCAAATATTTTAGAATGAACAAAATAGTAAAGAAAAAAGTTAATAGCTCTTAAAAGAACTGTTTTAGGTAAAGAACACTAACCCAATACTTATAAAAGAACTAAACGACACGATGCATTTCGGCAGACTACTTTTTGGGTGTCAACATGTGCTAAATGAATTTTTAAAACCAACCGATATTTATAATGCCAAGAAAGAGTGTACGTCATCGTCAAAAGGAGAGAAATGCCGTTCATTCTTTCAGTTACGCGTCACGGAGGCTGTTTTAATAGTTAACTAATCTCGTTCTCAGCCGAACAAAGAATCATGTTTTCAATTTATCCCTGTTTTTAAGGATTGAAAATGAGACGGTTTTGCATTGGAGAGTGCTCTTATGCCCGTTTCAAACGTCGCATTTTACATGCGCCAAATGCATTAATGACAAAAGAAAATGACATGAACTTCCTCATTATCTTTTGTTTTAATTGCATTCGGCACATGTAAAGTTCGACGTTTGAAACGGGACTAAGGGCTTTTCTTTGTTTGATTAGTGCTCGAGTGATTAAAGAATAAGTTACAGTCACAGTATAGAAATAAACAGTAGTCTTACTCCATTGTGCAACTTAGTGCTGTATGTTTAATTAGATTACTGGCTGCGGCTAACCATCTTAGTGCTCCTACTGGTCTAAAAAAGAAATTGACTAGATAGCTTAGGCTTGTTTCTAACTTTGCATTTCACATGAGCCGAATGCAATTAAAACAAAACATAATGAGGAATTTTATCTCATTTTCTTTTCTTTTTAATGCTTTCGGCGTATGTAAAATGCGACGTTTGAAACGGACCTTACTAAATGCGAGATAAAACAGACCAATCAGAAAGCACGAACGATTATACTAACCTTAATGCTTAATCTAATAACCTTATTGCTTTTAATTCTACTTAATTTAAGCTATTATTACAGTAAATATAAGCTGTTGGGAACTGCATGCGAGGCATATATCAACGTGCAAATCACATAAGGGGTCTTAGGAAATTCCCTCGTGAAACCCATGTTGTTTTTATGTGGGTTTTTTAATAACGAAATGTTTGTGGAAGAATTTGATGAAAGAGTGTTGTTCATATATAGCACGTCTGAAACCACAAAATAAACATGATTCAATTAAAAAACAGAAAATGTGCCAATACAAACAAAAAGTATTCTTCATGCCTCAAATCTTGGAATCATGTGTCAATTATTTAGCCCTATATTTGTATTCTTACAACATGCAATATTTTGTTTTTAAACGATTCAAAATTTTATTTGCGTGCAGATACGTCAAACATTGCAACTCAACTGTAAAAATGTGAAATATAAATTCATGCATGCATTTGTCATGAAAAAGATGGCATTGTTACTTTGTCATTAAAAAATATAATTAGCTCACTATCGCTATAGGTAATTTCTAAATGACAAGTCTCAGTTCATCAAAATTGAATGTAAAGAAAATACAACATTTTCCTCCCAATTTTTCTCTCTTGATAGTTTTGGAGAACACTAGTTGATTGTCGAATATTCCATGTGGATGTAAGGTTGAAATATAATCTATAGACAATTCTTATTATTTCTTGGAAACATTGTGCTATTCAAGATCTAGTATGCAAGTAGACTGCTTGAAATTTTGTACTTCGTGACTCATCATATTTTAGTCAGCTTCAGTTTCAACTTGTATCATTCGAAGCAAATGTTTTTAAGTGTCTTTTTTCGTTCTGTAATTAAATTCATAAAAGGACATTCGTTTAAAGGCATTAAAGGTATGTTGTTTCAACATCTAAACTACTAGAAAAAAAATGCGAGTGATTGAATATCAAACGTCTGTCATCTGAATTAGCTTAAATTTCTATTTTTGTTCAACACATCTAAAAGTGCAGGACTTGTTTATTAAATATTCCACATATTAATGGACTTACAGCGGGCGACCACAGAATTCAAACACAATAAACAAGTGATGGATTTACCGTGCTAGTTTCTGAGAAGTAAAACCAATGCAACCAAGCGAAAGTATAGAGAAAATACAGTAGGGCCACCACATCGAATTTTTTCCTGCCACGCATATCTTATTACGCACGTGATTGCCATATTGGCAGCCAGTAAATTGCATTGTATGACCAATAGGATTGACGATATGGCAAACGGCAGCCAGTAAACTAATTAAATATACAGCAGACTGTTGCACAGCAAAGTGGCCCTACTGTATATTCGTATACTGTGACCAAGCTGTCACATGATGAACATCTATTTGTACTTTGTCATTACGCGGTAGTTTAGGCAAGGAATTTTCTTGTGTTGTGGAATAATCCATCATAAAAGAGTTGACGAAAATTCAAGCCATCAAACTAACGTTTATTGTTGACGACGTTTCATGGCAATTTCATAATTACCAACGAGACCCCTTCTGCCGACCAACACCCCACTCACTAACTCTCTCGGCAGTGCAAAATCATACTTCTTGTACACAATGTTTAAAAACCGTATAAGTGAAGAAGGCAGCCAAAGATGTGAGGAAATCATTGTTTGCAGCGGTTGAAGACGTCCTAAATATTCATATTCACATAGTGCTCTTAATCTCTTACATCCCTGATCCCTTAAAGCGAATGACGTATCTTCCTGTTCTCATATTTATCCTCCTAAGTCCTCTTGTTATCCTATACATTTTTTTACAAGTGTTTCAAGTCCTTTTCTATTCATTCACGAAATCTTCTTACTACACCGACTATTGTTTTTCCTGTCTTCCTGAGCATATTTGCTGCATTTATCCATTTATCTGAGAGTTTATTTTGATCACCTAGAGCCTTTCTCAAATCTTCCCTAAAAACCAGACTACTCTCCTCATATTAAAATGTTTTAAAATTCAACTTTTGCTTTTGAAAAACTAGCGTACACAAATCATATCAATTCATTTTCAAAGGTAAGATATTTACAGCGTTCTAAAATATAGAGAAATGCTGCGTGTTGCGTCGAAGCAGTAGCTGACAAACTATTTAACGGTTAAGCCTAGTTAATAAGATTTTTTAAAGTACCCGAAAACTGATGTACATTTTAGAAAGAGAATTTCGTATCTAATACTGAGGTTATAAAGGCGTTATAGTTTGTATGTTTTCTCCGTTATTGCACTGCGTATATACAGTGGCGGATGACTAATTACGGGGCCTGTAGGCTACGACAAAGCTGTGGGTCTTTAAGTCATATTTGTTCCTCCAAATAAGTTCAGTGTTTTGACGACGTTTGCGTTTTATGCGTTCCATTGCTTTTGCATTTCTTGGCTTCTGTTTGTAACTCATATAGTGTAAACATTGAGGAACAAATTTAAAGTTCAACTTGAGTAAGTTCCCTGCACTTTATGAGTTTTGTGCATTAAGCATTAAAACAGTAGATCGTATAGTTTCCAGCAGCATATATGGTCGAATTTAGAACAAAAAGGCTAATGGTGAAATATGTCTAAATACAACGGGCGTCTTGAAAAGGCAGGCCTGTAGGCTTCAGCCTACTTAGCCTACTGCATTTTTAAAACGCCACTGCGTGTATGTAGTCAAAATGCTTTTATCTCATTTTAGTATTTATTTGTTCAGTATAAAGCAAAATATGCGATGTTTACAAAGACACTGAATTGTTTTGCAAAATGCTGTTGTAGATTGAATAAATGTCTTTATCTATGACAAATTTGACAGGAAACTGATTACTTTTAAATATTTTGTTGACAGAAAGAACTCTGCAAAATTAATTTTGAGATCATCATGTGGAACACATTTATTTATTTTATTTGTAAAGTAAATAAAGAGATGGAAAACATGCCGACCTAATTTACAATACTATTATGAAATGATGTATTGTTGGAAATCAACAAAAATGCATTTCTTAGAATCATATAAACGCTCACAAAGCAATTCAGAACTAAATTATATTCTAGCTACTTTATAATGTTCGAAATACATAAAGGAGCCCCTATATTAAAAATCTCTACTTTTTGATACTGAAAACAACTTAGATTGGTCTTATTTTTGGGCAGCATTTCCATAAAAACAACATTTTTCTATCCAATATTCCATAGATCAGAGGATTTAACGCGTGTGAGCCAAAAAGACGGAGAACATAAACAACGTAAAGATTGGTGGATGAATTTGAGGGAACAGTGTTGTTTATATAGAGCACGTCTACAACCAAAAAACAAGCGTGACCCACTGTGAAGCAGAGAACTGTGCTGACACAAACAATAAATGTCTTACTATGCCGATTATATCTTTGAAGACTTGAGCTGGTGGAGGATTGTAGATGAGAATGTGTCGGATTGGAGAGTGTTCGTAGTGCTTTTCTTTGTTTAATCAATGCTTGAGCGATTATGGAGTAAGTCACAGTCATGAAGATTATTGGGAAAATGTAGAAACATGAATAAAACGCAAACAATTCGTAAATAAAATAACGAGCTTGAGGATCCACAATGCACTCTTGAAATGTCATTCCAACTGTCGTAACTAAGCCAATGATGTACGCTAAGCCACAAACGATTTTTATCTTTTGTCGACTGAAGGAAGGTTTCAATGGATGAACTATCGCACGATAACGTAGAACTGAAATGATCAACATCATAGATACTCCACTTATTTGAAAAAAAGTATCTATGCCACTTATATATGAGCAGTTTAACATAATTGGATTGCTTTTCAAATGGTGTTCAAAGATTTCAAAGAGAAATATACTCAATAGTACAAATGCGTCACATATTGCAAGATGCAAGACAAGAAAGTAGTAGTTCTTCTTTAACAGAATCTTTTGTTTTAAAATTGAAGCGATCACGAGAGTATTTCCAGCAATGCCAAGAACACATATTGCCACAACGAACACCACAATATCTTTCATTATTAATTATTTGTCTGGCCAACTTTGGAGTGCCCTTCTTCCTTCTATTTCCCTGTTCAAATGTGATGATAAAATGTGTTTTCCGTAAATATTGAATACTGCACCTCATCATTCACAGCTGTGTTTAATGAGGGCGTTCTTAATACGAAACGTGTCCAAAACTAATCAAGTTTGCGTTGTTTTTTTGGATGTGTAATATGATCTCTTAGACAAACTTTATTGGACTAAATTGGTTGACCATGTAAAGATATAATGAATTGCCGATAACATATTGATCTCATTTTTTGCGAAGTCAAACGATTGTTGAAGTCATCATGATATCTGCTGCCAAATTGAGATATAACTTTTTGCAGGAATTTAAGTTCAAATATTTTAGAATAATAAAGTCTATTTGAAGTCCGTTGTACGACATGCATACATGGACACTATTGAGATATTTATGCATGTACAACTTAGAAAATGATTATTAAACATAAATTTTAATAAATCAAATGACAAATGCAATTGAACACAGTAGTGTTAATAATAATTTCAAAAGTTTGTGGAGAACGATATTATCGAACTTGAAAATATTTTTAAATGACATTGTAACGATATGATCTTATAGAAATTTAATCAGTTATATGGCCAGTTATCTACTAAATGAACATGTTTTTAATTTGAATTTGTTCATATTTCTGCCTCATTAAAATCTCCAAATGAAAATCAGTTGTTTGTTGGGTATCACATGATAATATTTCATCCTTGTACACTATGATTAAAAATTAAAACATCTTACATTAGATGCCTGTAACAATGACTACCATCACAAAGTTTTTTATATATAAAAATATTTACACAGATCTCGGCTTGCATGTGTTTATCTCTGAGTGTTAATGGTTTTCAACCTGTTCCTGTTTAACTTTGTTCGACAATTGTAATACAGTTTTAGCTATTTAAATGCATAAAAATTTCGGGCAAAAAATTCGAAAACAAAGTGGAGTGATAATTACTTGAATTTTATCAATTTTTTGAGCAGCTATTTCAGTAGTAATACAGTGCAGTATTTTTCTATCCAGCATTTTATAGATCAGAGGATTCAACAAATGTGACCTAAAAACACGGACAGCAAATGCAGTGTACATATTTGTAGAGGCATTCAATAAACGAAGAATATATGACTGAATCATTAGAGAAAGAGCATTATCTCAATTTTTAGCGCATCTTTACAGCAAAATAATAAATATGACCCGTTTTTAAGTAGAGAACTGTGTTTACGCAGATGAAAAATGTCTAACTATTTTGAGTATGTGTGATGGAGGACTTAAGATGAAGTTCCGTTGGAATCCAGAATGTTCTCAGTGCTTTTCTTTGTTTGATCAATGCTCGGGTGATTATGGAGTAAATCTCAATCATGAATATTATTGAGAATATGTAAGAGCAGGTATGAAAAATGATCTACAAAGTAACTACTCTTTAACTGTCATTCCAACTGTCATTACCAACCATTGAAGTACATAATCCAATAGTATTCCCTTTGAATCAACGCCGTTAATGTAGATAATTCAAAGAAGTCTCACAAATCGTATTATTAAGCCAACTCTACTTTTAGCATAATGCAAATAACAATTTATATCGAGGTTAGTCGCCCGTTTTTGCCAGCAATGCGTATTGCGTAGCTACTGAAGTCACAGAAGTGTCATTTCAATAACTTGGAATCAATTTGTTTCTGTTCTGGAAATAACATGCTTTAATTGCTAAAGTCATATTGTAAAGAATAAGAGCAACTAATTGAAATTTTCATTCTAAATGACATTTAAATGATCCTGTGGCATTCAACTTGATTTCTTTTATATTTTTATTTATTTATTTATTTATTTATTATTATCTATTTTGATTATTTCTTTTGATAGTATGTCACGTGGTCAAAACTATAACAAGCCTACTAAAAAACAAATATAAATAAATAAGGAAAGGTGACCTATTGTTTATTGCTCATTAAAATCTTATTTTGTCATTAGCTACTAATTGACAAATTTTCAACACGATGGTTATGACGAAATTGCATATTGGTTACAACCGTTAAAAATGTTTGTTTGAACCATCTTTATTTGTCATTTCTAAGTGACCAGTTTTGCATATGGTTGTATTGACCATCGTAATTGGCAATTTCTAAATGACCAATTTTTCATATGATTGTTGACTAAATTGCAATAAATGCAACCATTAAAAATAGTCGTTCAACTATTGAGTTCTCACTATGTGGTCACCAAACCGTATCTTAACACTGTTTAGAGCGTTTGAACAGAACACTCAACAATGTCGAGATAAAGTATTCGCTCTTTACAGCGTATATTGTAGTAATTTACCTGGTCACTGAACCGTATATGTAGGTGTATATATATATACATGCAGTTGCTAGGCTTTAACATTGTATCCCATGATCCTACGTGTTATCATTTAAGGATGAGCATGCTTTCAGCGATTGCGCGCATCGTTTAAACATCATTCAACAAACGCAAAACAATGTTGAGCGCATTTTGAGTGTACGTGTTGGGAGCGTTTGTATCCAGCGTAACGACATATTCTAAACTACATGCAACAGACATTATCTTCAACCGAAGGAAGATTTGAAGCCAATCACACGATATAAACGATCACTGTTTTAAAACATGAATTATTATTTGACTTACCATCATGATCCTTAGAATCATACGTCTACATCGCCAAAAATTCTTAGCGGTTGAAGTTAACAATTTGGCCAACAGTTCTTCTTTATGCCATTTCCTTTTCTTTGAGATCAACTTTGTGGTGACGAAATAGTAAAGAAATAAGTTCGAAATACAACTGTATTATTGTCTCCTCTCATACAACGAATTAAAATGGTACTTTCTTCTGAGTTTGTTTTATTTTACATAGTGTTTCAACATCCACGATAACTGGCTCAATAATCTTGTATCTGGTTTGGCAACCATTCTGCAAGCAAAGAAGTCAATCATAAGTTATAGCCACACTATAGAATAGTTGGTTTGTAAGTAGAGGCTGTCGCAAAAAACTGCTTGTATTGCAATTATTCGACAATTAGAATTTCCTCGATTCAGGAACAGTTTATCCCCAAAGAGCAACAACATTGAAAGAAAAACGTGTTTTGCATTTAACATGAGGGGAGGCAGTTGACGTATTTTAGCAAAAAGAAAAGATAAAAAAGGTTTGCAAACGTTGATTTATACTTCGTCGTCTACAACAAATATTTAACAAAATTGATCAACCATTGCTTGTTTATTCTGAGAGCCAATCACATTTTGCACTTGACTAAAGCTAGCCAATAGCATTTCTTGACGTCATCAATTTTATAAAAAATCTCAATTGCTTTACAAACTGATGTTGTATATTGAAAAAATATTTTTATTAGACAATTAGCTACTTGATGCTGTTGAAAATGATGATCGATAAGGAACAATGCTACAAAACCATTCAAAGCTAAAATATATTCTAGCGAGCCTGTTTTGCGACAGTAAAACAAGCTTGAATCATGAATTCATGAATGTTTGTTTTTTTTTGTTCTTGAGGTTTACAAAGACTATTAGACAAAGAAGTGGGATTTTTCTATTCAACATTCTTTTCTTCGCTTTTTTCTTCGTTTTTTTCTTCATAAAACGGAAAGTTTTATGTTGGGCAACAACATTTTTATTAAAACTTCGTTCTCCCTCTGGCAAATCTATAGTTTAATTATTTCCCAACAATTGTCAAATACGCAGAATATTTCTCACGTTTGTTTATTAAAATCTCATTGGCTTGGCCATGCATTATTAACATAGTATGCGCATGCATGGCGATGATCAAACGATAAAACAATTTAATGAAATATCCTTTATACCGATGGGTTGAATTCATGTTTTAGAATGTTTATTTTACGAGCTTGACTTTCAATCTCCGCCTTCTATCTGGTTTACTTTATATTTGAGAAGTCGAGGGCATGCCAGATATATTAGCCAGTTCTCTCGCGGTGTCTTTTGAAAGCTGTTTCTGTAAAAACAACAATAAAATTTTCTTAAGATAAAACTGTAATTACTATCTCGCTCAATTTGAATTAACATAATGCACTTTTTAAGGATTCTGTTCTATTCTATCCCAGTTCATAAAAGATGCTTGATGAATCTACACCCCAAGGCCAAGTATGAAGGATTGGTGAAAGTTTTGCAAAACAAGTGACGTTTATGAGACTAAAATAACTTGATTGATGGTCAGTCAAGTTTGCATATAGTATTGCATAGCATCTTTAAAATCAGCACAAGGTAAATTCAACAATAAATTCTCATGTTACAACTAGCTAATTTACCAAGTAATTGCCTCAGAAGCAAAATAACCATTTGGGGCAACACACCCAAAATCACCAATAAAATTTATTTCAAAATACAGCACACCCCTTCCCACAAAGCCATTCTACATAATCATCATACATCCATTGCTGTTTTAGTGCATACTTCTTTATGCATTAAAGAAATAGAACCTTACCTTTAGAAACATCATGTTAGTCTATGGCCAAACAACGCTTTCCATTTATGATAAATATTTTTTAAGTTCTTGAAAACTACAAATTACACAAAACGAAAAATGATTCAATTGAGGTTTTTTGAGAGTAAACATGAATATAAACAATTTGGGAGGAGGAATCAATATTGACATATATGTAATTATTTTATGCTTTATCCCTTGTCGACTGTATTCAATATTACATGAATACTCTAGCAGTTATATGAAAACAATGAAAATTAAATTTGTCACAAACATGTAAGATAAGATGAAGCTTAGTTGTCCTTCCTTAAGCAATTTTGTCATGCTAGCCATTCATGTCCATTGCAGGCAATACTTGAATCTACATGAGTCAGAAATTATCAAAAACACATATACATAAATTTGCCTTAAGTGAGCACACAAGCATGAAATAAATATTGCATAGACTTTCAAAAATTACTTATTTGAACTAACATCTTGTGGTAAGATTTAAAGCTGTGGTTTAAAGGAATGTGCATTTCGCTTGGTTTTAGTGGGTGAAGGAGAGGAACCAAGTAGTTGCACTGCAAAATATTTATACGTTACCTATGACAAACAATGTTCAAAGCAAAAGCAAGTGATTTTTCATATTCAGTAAACTTCCAAATGCATCAGTCAATCATGGAATATAAGTAAAAGAATTTATTAAAACAAGGTGCAAAACACTGCAAAAATCACCATCAAAATTTACTTTAAAGAACAGAGCACACCCCTGTCGACATAGCCCCTCTACACGCACTACCTTACATTGATTGGTGATTTTACACATACTATTTCTTGCATCAAAGGAAGACAACCTTACCCACATATCATGGAATTAAATCCATATATATATTCCTGCAATTCCTGAGTTGGAGGTATAAAGGTATTGACAGACACTGTAAAGAAAACAAATTAATTTTCTTTATATTATTTGGCTGCTTTGAATAAGCCATTTCAAGATTTTAAAAGTAAGCCTTTCAGCCTTGATAATTGCATTATAAGAGGTAATAGTGAATTTCAGTGATACTGTATTACTTTCATACTAAAACAATATAATAAAACAGAAGTCTGCGTTAAAGTATAATGGTTTATCAGCACATATATATTTGAGTAAAGTCTTAAATAGCCTATAAATTAATTAAATATAACGGTGATAACATGAATATGTTAGGAAAACACTTAACCATCATAATGTCGATGTTGAGTTGTTGACTCCAATTAATAGGTATCACTAATCACACTAACAATTTATGCTCTACATAAATAAAACAAAGATGCCATAGTCTTTACAAACCTTTTTGAGAATCCGCAGTAAATCCAAAAGATCAGGAGATTGAAAACATCAACAAACATCAGTGTTGGCCATTCTTCTTTAATTAAATCGTCTTTAATCTTCTTTAAATAATTAAAGAAGATTTCAAATTTGTCTCAAAATCTTTATTGTTCATCAATGTTGATAACACAAGGTTGATATATTCATTCATTAATTAATTGCACTTCATGTTGTGCGACCATTGTGGCCTGAGTAATCATTCAAGTGGTCAAGTTTATATGTAAAGGTAATTTTACTTAATTATGCTGTTTTATTTATACTTTTAAAAAATAAAAATAGATGAAGTGTGAAAAAATCAAAAAAGGTTAAGGAAAGTTTGGAATGTAGTTCACCGTCATTGGATTCACTAGATTAGATTCCAACTTAAAATTCAAATTAGTCTGACTTTATGTCGTAAAATTGTAATAAAAAGTGTTATATAAATAACTTTCAGCTATACTTTACAAAGTCATCTTCAATCTTCTTTAATCTTTTTTAATCTTCTTTGTATGAATTAAAGAATAAAGAAGATTTTGATTATGGAAAAGTCTTATTTAATCCAACCCTGACAAACATCCAATTACAAAAATACGAAAATTTGTCTCCTCGATCGTTGGAATTTTAAAACACGTGTTGTGCTATAGGGCTCAATCAGCGGGCAAATGTTCGGGTAAGAAAGATTAGTAGGCTATCGTGCCAAGGCTTTCGCTCCACGTGCATATGGCTTTCTCAATAAAGATGGATAAATAGTATTCAGGGGCGGATGTAGAGTATGTCAAATCCGTCGCGCGACTGATGTTTGAAATTCAAAATTTACCTATTCATATTAATTAAAAATTAATTAATTATTCTTACTTTATTATCGCATTTACTTCGTGATAAAAATCTAGCTTTATTTATTATTGAAATATAATGACTAATCCAATAAATATCTCGTTCGTGACCAGATCAGTTGAATTTTAATTGACCTGGAATAACCGACTGATAAACGGGGAGGCTTGACTGGTTCGACCGATAAAGGAGTCTATGAACGCCAGAAACGCTATTTTATTGGTCAACGGCCAGATCAGTGGACGATCTGGAATAATCTCGACCGATATGCGGGGTGGCCGGACCTATAAGGGAGTCCACTTGCTATCGTGTAATTGGTTCGTTTAAATTTTTGTCTTACTGTGATTGGTTTGACCGATTTCGACTGATAGAACTAACATAGTCAAGCTCACTGTCTGAATTGAATGATTGATCGTTTTATAGTAATTTTCTAAAGCATGATAGAAACTAAACTACAATCAGATGGAATTTATGGAAATCTTTTACAAATTCATATATTGACATGAATGCTGCTTTCTAAACTGGGAATTTTTTCAAATGGGCGAAAAATTTATGGATGAATTGTAAATGCTTGGCAAAGACGATCTCGCGAGCGACATTTCAGTCATTGATGTTCAAAAGCAAGCCAACATTGTTTTGAGTTTTATCAGCAGAAATTTACATCCAAAATCGTAAGTAAAGGACAACTGAAGTGTATGCATGAATGTATTATATCAAAGTCAATTTATGCGAGTGTGTGATGCGATTTATGTTAATATGGCGTATGGTAAGCAGATTGATGCTTCTAAAATTATTGTTGCCGAAAGGAGTTTTAGCTATGATCTCTTTAGTGCTTGGGGAATCGTGACTGTTATATGGCAGCGAAATCCTACATTCCTGCAAATATATTTCAATGGATAAAAAATATGTAGCCATTAGGCGCCATACTTATATTTACTTTATCATAAGCAAATGTTTGGGGCTTTTTAGTTTATGATCATTGATCATTCAATCATTGGACAGTTATACTACATATTGTTTAAGATTTGAGAAAACTAACATTTATTACATGAGAAGCTGTTTTCTATAACTTGTGATTTTGAGTCTTCTGATCCATGAAGCTTTTTATTTTGACAATTTGACTGGAATGGTATTAAACCTTAGTATTTCACATACATGAAATGTTGTCCCATGTCACATATTGTCCCCTTTTCTAACTGAACACCTCATGTAGAGATGTAAAGGTGTGTTAATCTACGGCTCATACAAGATTGTTTGCCATAAATTACAAAGTGATGTATGAAAAGCATTTTCTATAAAGTAAAAATGACCTCCTATGCATGCAGCTAAACCTTGAAATTTGGCAAAACAGCAAAGTATTTTTCATGATCACTAGGCAATTTTTCTGATGATCATTATAATTTCTAAACTAAATTATTTCAGATTTACATTTAAACGAGCTTTGATCATATGAAAAGATATTTATCATAACCAGTAAGCATGACACATGAACCAATTTTAACATTCATGTAATTATATAATTAAAGACATGCTGGTTACATTCTGTTTGTATTTGATAATACAATGCTACTAGTGATTGCTATATAGCACACCTTGCAGAAGATAATAGTCAAGTGAAATGCCTAATAAACATTTATGGTATTAAGCTGTCCTTAAATGCAAATTTTCACTCTGATAATTTTTGCTTAATCTTTGGCAGAAAAAAATTTTGAGTTTTTTCTCAAAAGGTGAATTTGCTGGCACTGATGTGGAGATGGGTAAAGAGTTACAATAAACTTGCATGATTTGAAGTCTGAGCCTTTCTATATCTATGAACTGTCACTTGTAGTACCAAATTTCTAACTTAACTCATTACATAGAGGTTTGAATGGGGGTCTCTAGGGGGGGTCTATGCCTGACAACTTGGTAAAAATTTTTAAAGACTATATCTGTTTTTGAATAGCATTATTATAAAATAAATTTTACGTTCCTAGACATGCTAAGGAGTCATATATTTGGCATCATAATGTGCCTAAATGCTTGGCAAAACATTCAAGTATTGTTCACTTCATTTTTTTTTTGAAAAAAACGTAAGCAAAATGTGTTGTTTTTACGCAAAAACGATGCCCACAAAATACATTTTGTAATGCTCTAAAATGCTGAAAATGGCATTTTTAAGGCTCAGAAATTCAAAATTTCTCAGGGGAGAATGCCTCAGACCCCCCCAGGTGCGGAGTGCCTCCGACGTTTTATGACTGATGTTTGAAAAATCCCAGATCCGCCCCTGATAATATTAACTATAAAGATAATGCTTATCCAACTCGGGTATCACTTGATCCAGTCCTATGGTAATCGGTTGATAGTGTAATTACGGGAGA